GCCCCAAACCACATAGGGCTTTAAAGGTCAAAAACAGCACCTTGAAGCGAATCCAGTATGCTACTGACAGCCAGTGTTCCCTCTAAGCTGAGTTAGTATGAGCTAGCTCAGAGTTTTTTAGCCTCCAGCTCACACATTTTTGTCTTAGCTCAGGAAGGACGGCTCCAAAGCAAACTGATTTATGCAGTAGCCAAATTGCTCGCTGACAACTTTCATGCCAGTAGCTCACAAAGTAGAATTTTTGCTCACAAGACTCCACAGCTTAGAGGGAGCATTGCTGGCAGCCAGTGCAGTGCCTTCAGCAGAGGCTGGATGTGCTCCCGCACAGGGAGACCCATCAGCAGCCTGGCCGTCGCATTTTGCACCAGCTGCAGCTTCCAGATTTGCAACAAGGGCAGCCCCATGTAGAGAGCATTACAGTAGTTCAATCTTGAGGTGACCATTGCATGGATCACCGTTGCCAGATCATTGCGTTCGAGGAAGGGAACCAACTGCCTGATCAGCTGAAGATAGCTGTGGGGGGGCACTCTAAACCATAACGCCAACACAAGGGAGTAGAGATTTAGTGCCTGAGAACACATGAGTACATGATGTTTCCCTTTTCCAAACTTTTTTGATTATTGATATTAACTGATCATTTGAAATAAATGAAGCCAATAATACTGTGATTGTTCAGTTCTCATGGTCATCTGGTATTCTTCAGCCATTATGACTTTCAATTTATTTACTTCATTTATACTCTGCCTTATGACTTTAAAAACACAAGTTCATTACTACTATCATTATTTATTTATTGTATGGCAAGGTTTTTCATTCAGTTCACAGTTGACAAAATTGTTATTGAGATGGGAAAAGGAGCATTCTGTTTTTCCTGGACTTGGAATATGCTGCCATTTATGGCAGTAGTCAGCCAAAATTTCAAGGTCCCTAAAGGAAATCAACCTTGACTGTTCCCTGGAAGGCCAGATACTTAATCTGAAGCTCAAATATTTTGGCCACCAAATGAGAAGGGAGCACTCACTGGAGAAGACCCTGATGCTGGAAAAGATTGAAGGTAAAAGAAGAAGGGGATGGCAAAGGATGAGATGGTTAGACAGTGTTATCGATTAACACTCCGTCATCCACCTGCAGGAGAAACTTGGCAGTTACAGAAGCATACCAGAAGAGAATAACAAGGGGAGGGAAGGGAGGACGGGCAGGAATAGGGACGGGACGTGTCCCAGAGAAATGGCAGCTAGCTGACACGAGCCCTGGGGTAAACCATTATTCAGTTTATTCTGCTTACTGATTGATTGACCCATAATTACTTGGAAAGTTCTATCACTCAGCATGTTATTTAGGAATCAAAATAATGTTCTGCAGGGGAAAACTTGTACAGCAGACCATCCCTCCAGACTGTCATAAGCAGCAGTCAAATCAATGAAAACTGCTGATGTCTTAAGACACTTCTGATACCCTGCATCAATGGAAGTTGTGAAGTTGAGAATCTGGTCTTCAGAACTATTTTTTGTTGTTCAGTCGCACAGTCGAGTCTGACTCTTCGCGACCCCATGGACCACATCACGCTAGGCCCTTCTGTCTTCCGTTGTGCTCCGGAGTTTGCACCAATGAATCGGCAGGAGTTATGTATTGGAGGAACACATCCAAGACACCTATCCAGATCTTCACTGAAACCTTTCCAATTCACCCTCTTAAAGTTTCAGCATTATCTTGGAAAAGACCTGATAACTGGTATTTGGATTCCTAGCTCAAGGATTACAGATGGATGCTGACCGCGTGGGAAAGCCTCAAGAACATGTCTGGATCTAGGCAAGGGCTGACTTCTATGGTCAGATGAAACAAACGTTAAATCAGGGTTGCACTCTCTATTCCATGCCACTGATCTGAAAGTGCCTCTGTCT